ATCTGGTTGTGTTTCCTGAGTGGTCTACCTGGTAAGGCTGACAAGTACTGAGCAGGTCATTCTTGGTATGATGCTGGAATGTCATACAACCTGGGAATTACTATATATTTACATGTCCAGCAATGTTAATTGGCTGCCTTTCAATTTTCCAATTGCCTCCTCTTTCTAACAGGAAAACATATTTGATCGACCCAGAATGACCCCAAAGACTCCCATGAAAAATGAGCCTATCGATTTGTCCAAACAAAAAAATTGTACTCCTGAGAGAAGCCCAATTACACCTGTGAAGCTGACAGATAGGCCTCTAGCAGATCCATGGACTCCAACAGCTAACCTAAAGATGCTTATTAGTGCTGCTAGCCCTGACATGCGGGACAGGGAAAAGAAAAAAGAACTCTTCAGACCAATTGAGAACAATGAATTCAGTGATGCTCTCCCTGATTCCTCACAGGTAACTGACCTGTCACAGAGAAAATTGTCACAATTAAACTGCTATCTATTTGAATTATATAATATTATCTTTAGGCATGTAACGGCTGTTGCTTAACATCTGCAACCTCAGTAACCTTTATTTACATTCTGTTCTCTTTAGTTATGTATAATTTATTTTGGATTATTACCGTGTGGTATTCAGATCTGAAGCAGGCAAAGCGTGTTTCAGATGTATCTAGCATGTGTGTTTTTAATGTATCTCTTTACAGCTCCTTAAAGGAACCTTGTTTTTTCCTGGGCTCTCATGGGAGCTTTGCAGGTTCAGAAATATGTGTGATGGAGTTAAGGAACCAGCCACAGGGCAGTGACAACCTATTGCCATCTCTGTTATACTTCCTGAACTCAAAGATGTATTTTCAAAGCCTGTGCATGTAGCTATCCTGTGAGCCCAGGTCAAGGTATGATCCCTTCAAGAAGCTGCTGACAAGTACAGCAGATGTGCCTAGGACAGATCTAAAGCAAGATTTGCTTGCTTCAGATCTGAATTCTGCATGCCTCTATTCTGGATTATCATTTCCCTTTTGCTGCACCTTCTCGGGCTTTAAATTCTTTGTAAGCAATTCTTACAATGGATTATAGTTTACAGTAATAATTTTCAGCCATTGTCCTATTTACACTTCACTCCTTACATGCAGTTTTGATTTATTATGTCATAAATTACTTCCTCTCTGCATTTAAATATATGAGATCACTTTCCATGGAAGCTTTAGAACAATGGACAGCAACCATTTCAGGTTCAAATGACTGAGATCTCATGTTATCAATGCATAGACTTAAGACTTAATTTTCTCACACATTTTTTACCATGTTTAATTTTTTTAAAAGTAATGAATGTTTTAAGTTCTTTAAAACAGTGGTGGGGTGTCCCTGGATCTCGTCTACTGATGTCACAGGTACTATGGTATTAGATTCTAATTTAGATGCTATAAAACAAAAGTACACATAAGAAAAGGCAAACCCAACTGTTGTGAACCAGGCCTCTTTTTTAAAGACTAAAATATAGTGGGTATTGTGTTAAATACTATTACAGAATTACGTACAGTATGTCAGTCATTGCATTCATGAATAGTAACTAAAACAAAAGTTGGTCCTTATTCTATAATTTATTTAAAATGGAAGGACATTAACCAATCAGCCTGTACTATATAGAATTTATTAAATGTAGTGATTTGAGAGGCAGCTAAACTTATTGGGAATTGTCACTCCCAGGCCACTCATAGTGAGAAATGCATTCATAAATTTTCAAGAAAATAAAAGCTCTCAGGGCTAGGTTTTTTTTTTAAAGTCTTTAAATGCACTGCAGGAGCCCTGGGACTCAGAAGTGTGAGAAGATTTGAAAACTGTCTTTTGGGTGTTAAAACATGGGATTCTGTTACTGAGACTATTTCTTCTGTTCCTTCTAGAAATAGCTTGTTTCCTCTTTCCCCCTTTCCTGTGTCACTGCTGTAAACCAATGAGGAGGGCCTACTGTGTTTCATTTTTAATTGGTGTATAATGCTTAGTAAAGTTTAAGAATAAGAAAGGTCATAAAAAGTTAAGTAGAATCTTGCAATCAGTTTAGAACCAGATTGAAACATTCCCAGACAAAATTAACATATTCATTCAATTTAGCTCCCCAAAACCTTCACTTTTACTACAATGCTATTTTAGGAATCACTACTTACTATCACAGATATCCATGAGTTAGTGGGTGGGAGCCACAATCAGTCTCCCCCTTTTGTACTTGGCATTGCGATGTTGCATGCAAGTACATGAGGGGTGGAGCTTTTGTTGCGACATCATGACAGACATTTCATCGTTTTGACAAAATCTCAACTTGCCGCAGATGTCCCTGCTTATGGGTCTCATGGTGTCTACCAATAGATTAACCCTACACTTCTAGCTTTGGTACTGTGAAAAAGAGATGTATATGAGAGTAGGAAGATGAGCAGGGACAGACAGTAAAGGCAGCTTAATATGCTGCATAGGCTTTCAGGCATTGCCATAGGTATCTTGGATAAAGCATTTCCTCAAAGCAGTCTAAATTAAAGTGGGCTGGTCCCTAAGCTTTAGATCTACTTGTGAAGTATTTGAGCAGCTGCTCCAAAGGAGGTATTGAGATGACAGTAGTTGACTTGAAAACATTATTCTCTCATTCCAGCGAGGACAATTCTGAAAATATGTATCATAGAAGCTTTCATATAGGAAAGAATAAAATGTATGAATACCAAATTAGCTGATGGTTCTTGCTCAGAGAGCTGAACTACTCTCCCTGGGTTTTCCAGAGCAAGCTTTTGTTTCAGACTGTAGGTGAAACACTTCACTAAACCAAATCTGCTTCCTATCTAAGTATAGTAATATGTTTCTAAATTATTTTTTTTCTGAATATTAATACAGTTTGTAGTAAAAAAAAGTAATGTAATTTGCCAGCTGAAATTATCTAGCTTTCAGAAATGAGTTTCTAAAGCATATATAACACTTTGTATGTGTATTAGTAATCAACTATATATAACTAATGCTTTGGCGTACTGTAACAGATGGCTGTAAAGGACCATTCTATCTGTTTCTAGTGTGATACTGTAGATGATGGAACTACAGATGAATATGAAAAGCAAAGACCCAGCAGAAAACAGAAAAGCTTAGGACTGCTGTGCCAAAAGTTTTTAGCTCGCTATCCTAGTTACCCTTTATCAGCAGAGAAGACAACAATTTCTTTGGATGAAGTGGCTTCCAGTCTTGGTATGTATGCAGGCAAAACAATATTGATTGCAAAAATGAATGTTCCTAATGAAGTAAATATTGACCTTAATATCAGGCATCAGGGCTGTGAATATGCCTTATTTAAATGTATTGTGCTTCTGTGTAATTTGCATGTGTTCTACTTAGCTTTCCTAGAAAGTGCTGCTGAATTTTTTGTAATGTTGCCAAGTGATTCCTTCATAGGAATCAGTCCAAAAAGCATTCCAATAGAGAAATCATAGTTGAAAGCGTCTGTTTCAAATCAGTCTGTTTCATGGTGTTAACTTCACAGGCACGTGTTCACTCTTAAGTCCATCTTGTTTCCCTTCCACATCAACACATAATCATATCATGCATTATATACTGTGATTTTTAGTCTGCTTTTGAAACCACTAAGTGCATTGCTAATTTGGGCAAGTATGAAAACCAAACTATTTCAACCCACCTAATGTCTAGAAAATGTGAAATGAGTTGATTTGCTTTAAAATGTGGACTATATAATTTGTTTATAATCAGTTGTAGAACTTCCATATTTCTTTTAGTGATTTCATATGGTCCACATTTTAAGCCAACTCAATTTACATCTTCTAATTTCTTGATACAAACTTTCAGTGATGTAAATGAAAGCCACGCATAATCTCCAGAGTGTTCTTTATCAATAAGATCATCAAGGAAAGTATTTAATCTAAAGTAACATTTTCTTCACAGGAGATGAATTTATGGGATTAAATCAGACGAAACCAAAATAAGCATTATTTAACTAATTTCTTGGGCTGTAAGCTCTAAACCATTCCTGTAATGAATGACTTGAGCAATTATGTTACAGATTGGTGTATAAATACCATTAAATAAATCAATAACCTAATCAGTTATTTGGAAGCAAATTTCATTGAAACCAGTAGCCCTTGTGGATAAGAGGGCAGACCTGGCACCTGTTACTGAAACCTAGTTGGGTGAGGATGAGAAAGAGTTTCCCCTGTCTCAAAATTGCCTTCCCAGGTTTCAGGGGTTATATTACCTATGATGCTAAGGCTGGGGAGGGGCATTGCAATAATCCTGCAGGAGATTTTGATTGTCACCAAATGCTCCAGAGGTTGCCAGATGTGTGGCTGTATTTGTGAAGCTGAGCTTGAGTGATAAACTGGAAGTGATGCTGTTGTACTGCCCAGCCTGCTGCTCAGCAGCCTCCTTTCCCAAGCTGCTTAACTTCATTGCTGGGCTGGTGGTTGATTTCCTGAAACTGAAGTGCTGGAGAATTTCCAGCTTTCTCCCTAAGGAATGGGGTCAGGATTTCATAGCCACCATGACAACAATGGACTTATCCCAGATAATCATGGGCCCCACTTGATTTGACATTTACCCCAGAGATGTGATCTTCTGGAGGATATTGCCACTAGCACCTTGTCAAGAACAGATCTCTTTCTCATAACTTTGAGGCTTGTGCACATCACCAACCCCTGCAGGAGGGAGAACCCATTAAAATGGGGTGCCCAAGGTGCCTTATGACTCATTCTGGTTTTCAGAAACCATTGGGAAATATCTCAGAAATTTCATGAGCAGTTCCATCATGCGGTTGGTCAGCCTCTAGAATATGGAAGAAACCAAAGTATCCTATCCAGTATTCTGGTTTCTTCCATATTCTAGAGGTTGCCCCTGAGCAGCTTTTCCCTGTTTATCAGTCCAGAAGGTCCCCTTGGTTAATTGAAGAAATAGCAATAGAGATCCCTAACGTAATGCTAAAAAAAGACAAGGAGTGAATACAATTTAATAGGGTATGAGGCCAGGTTGGGCCTACTCTGGTGATAAGGGCAATGATAGGAGGTAGTTTTCCACAGAATATATCGCCACCCAAGGCTGAGTATGAAATGGCCAAGATGGCTGTGAGTTGTAGTCCAACCCAGTAAGAGGATATCAGGTTGGGGAAGACTACATTAAACAAAATTGGGCTACCAAGTCTTTATAAGTGAGCTGGTATTACTGGACCACTGATGTGTCTCTGGCTTCATATAATTATATGCTTGTATGACTTTTTTTTTCATTTTTGTTGTTTGTATAGCAGATTGCCTTAAAATAAATGTTTTGCATAGCAATGTTATTTCTCTTCTGTAGGAAGTTTAATGAAAAATATAACAAGAAATGAAGCCTCAAGAAATATGATAAGAGCAGTAAATTATTTTCAGTGAAGACTTATATCCCCCAGATCTGCTGTTAAGGCAAAGTACCTGCAGATCTCTCAATGTACACTTTTTATAGTTCCCCAAACTCACATTAATGCAGCCACCTTCAGTTTAAGTCATGGGTAGTGAAACATAGAAAGAATGCTTTTATTCCAAATGTAAATCTTCATATGGAGAATAAATAGTAAGTGGAAGTATATATACCACAGGTTCAAAGTAATGTGTTCCCAGCTGAATTCTTAGCTTTATTGACATTTGTATCAACTTCAAGAAAAATGTGCATCACAATGTATATTCCAAGGTGAACCATCTCAAATTTTTCGGACTCGAGTCATGAATAAGGAGTGACTGTTGCTGCTACTTGTAATAATAATACCTGAAGTTGCATTACTGCTGGGTAATAGTGCTAGGCTTCTTACCTCCAACAGTATTATTCAATTTTGTATAATTCTTTCTGAACATTACAAATATCAATATATTTATGTTCACAGGATAATGTATGGACATTTCCAAGACTATGAGACATTTTAAGTCCTTTTATAATACATCTCATAGAGCCCATGTTCTTTTCACTAAGGAATATTAGACATTTTTGCTGTTGGCATAAAAAATAGACTTTGTCTGAAAATTCCCTGTCACTGGAACTAATTCAGATTCTCAGAAAGCAGTCCTAATAGGAGCTCTAGCACAATCTGGCTATTACTTTCTCTTAAGACTGCTGGCTACAGTTACTAATGCAACTACCTACCATATCTGTGATTGCTATTCTTCTTGCATAGTAATTTTTCAGTATTTACATTTCTCTATATATATGAACTTAGAAATTATGAATTGCTTCTAAGAGATTGTTGGTGTCCACCCTTGGAAACACTATACAGGATTGGCAATCCTTTCTTAAGCTGAACTTGGGTATGGAATCTGACAGGGCTCTAGGGTGTTGTTCATAGATCAGTAACTCCTTGTTTATACAAACATATTAGAATATAACATTTTAAACAGAGCCAATGTGACACCAACTGTCCACATTACATAGAATAGAGAATTGCTCTTACATGATCAGTTGCAAATGAGTGTCTTTAAATGAAAAGGGATCTTGCTCGTTTGATTACAATGCAGTCCTTTGCATGACACCTCAGAAGGAAGTTCCATTGCAGTTAGGTTTATTATCAAGAAAGAGTATTCCTTTTGCACTTTGGTATTTATAGCTACCTCACAATCAAGCACATTAACTTCCAGAGTTTTTGGTACCCGGTCACTTCTATATTAATGATACAAACATTTATTGACATGAGTAGCATCGCTGCCAGTTGTTCTGGACATACAAAATTCCTGGGCAGGAGGCATAAGACCAAAATCAAAATCCCACTGTGCAGTGAAAGCATAATCTACAACTTACTGTAGCTCTCTCCTGCAACTGGATAATATTAGTGGTGTGGAGGCAACTTATGATCTACAAGCCTTCTGACACCTGCTCTGCACATTCTATTGAGGAGTGATCCACAGCAGTATTTTTTAAAATTATACTACCATAAATGGTCCCCTAGGGGCCAAGTTTCTGTCATACTACCATATTATTTTTTTAATATTATATAAACTATTGCAATTACAATCTCATCAAAATAGTAGCATTTCTGTTACCCCTCATGTACAGAGCTAGTTGGATGCTAAGGAGGAAAATTTGGGATCCCTGCATTTAGAAATAGAACCTCCATCATTTGTCTTCCCTCTCAAAGATTCTGTTGCTACAATGCTTTGATTATATTCTCTGTGTTATGCTTTGGTTCCTACATCTAGGAGTTGAACGCAGGCGGATTTACGATATAGTGAATGTCCTGGAATCTCTTGATCTTGTTAGCCGAGTGGCTAAGAATCAGTATTGTTGGCATGGTCGTCACAGCTTGAGCCAGACTCTGAAAAAACTCCAAGAAATAGGAGAGCTACAAAAATATGAAGAACTTATGACTTCTTTCCAGCAGAAAGAACTCGACTTTGAGTGTAGATTTGGAGAACACAAAAAAGAGAGCTTTATAGATTTCCAAGAGCGACAGTTGCTTGACTTCTCAGAGACAGATTGTCCGTCTGGTAAGTTAAGGAAGGGAATTGGTAATATTAAAAATTGTCTGTAAAAAGTATATGCCATGTTATTCTATTTTAAGTTTTAAAATAAATCATTACGTTCAAATGATAGTCTTCTTTAGATTCAAGTGGTCAATCACATTTAAGCAACTCTTGTGCTTTTGCCCTCAAGTTATAGCCATTGCTTCATAACTTGATGCCATGCTTCTGTGTTCCGATATAATAGATGGATAATAGAGAAGTGTAGCAGGTCAGATCTGAAGCATTAGTGAAGTTTTAGAATAGGTATGGGCATGTACACAACACCTGTCAGACCCTCCTTCAAGTAGTGATGATTTTTCATGGGTGTATACAATAACTGGGTCATCCCAGAAAAATATGTGTTGGAGTTAAGGAGGGACTAGCAGGATATGACAAGGTGTTTCAGATTCAAAGCATTGAACATCCCTAATGAATAATCATTCCAACTGCACTTGTTCAAGATATCATTTTACAGTCCTTTCATCTGTCCTGGAGATAGTTAAAGTGCAGATATCCATCTGTTACAGGCAATTATTTTCTGCTCATTAAAAACATGCTTTTCAACAAGGATTTTGTTTCTTTTTTTTCCTGCACAAGTCTTCATAATATTTTCTTGGCTGTTAATATTGTAACATGTTGAGACTTGGGTTCTGTTTGTAATACAGCATCTGCAAACAGCAGAAAGGACAAGTCATTGAGGATTATGAGCCAGAAATTTGTCATGCTGTTCCTTGTCTCCAAGACCAAGATAGTCACTCTTGACATAGCAGCAAAAATATTGATAGAAGAAAGCCAAGATACAGCCGATCACAGCAAGTTTAAAAGTAAGAATCGCTTCTGGGGAATGAATAATCTTGGTCAGCAAGGAAAGTAATGATTGTATTGGCAGAACAAGAGAACATATATATGTTTTTTTAGTCTTTTTGGAGCAATTTTGACTGGAAATAAGAATGATATACAAATGCCAAGGAAGCCTCTTTCAAACTTTATTATGCTAACAAAATGGTGATAGAAATTTCTTGTGATGTTTACTGAAATGATGTCACACAAAACAAATACATCTCTTGCCACAGGCTAAGTTACTAACACATTTCAAATAATGTGCAATCTTGCTTGATTAAAATCAGTGTTAAAAAATTAAAACTCTAGTATTACTTGAAATATTAGTTTTATGTTCTCTTAAAATGTTGTGCTTCTGATTCGTTGTCAAGAAAACTACATGTCATGTCCACGAACCTACCAGAGGTTGAGTCCAACTTGAGAGACCTTGGCATTACTTTACCCTCTGATAAATCCTTTAATATATACCATATTAAGTTTTCTAGGGGTCTGTCCACTTATTTATTCATTCAAATGACTCTCAACATTCTGAGGGACATGTTATTTTTGTGCCAATTCCCCATAATTTTAGTTTTCCAGCAATAGTGCTTTTTTCTAACTTGTTACATTTATATGTAATGTCCTCATTCATCTGAACTGTAGCTGTTTTCCTTTCAGCAAAGGTAAGAAGACTGTATGATATTGCTAATGTCTTGACAAGTCTTGGGCTCATAAAGAAAGTGCATGTAACAGAAGAAAGAGGTCGTAAGCCAGCCTTCAAGTGGATTGGGCCTGTGGAATTCACTGGAAATAACGGTACTTTTCTATTTTTGCATTACCAACAATTCACTTCCCAGATAGCCCTACATTGATTTCTGGATTTATGAAGAAAACTGATGATATCCAGATAAACCTGTAAAAATTCAATAGGCATTATCAGGTGATAGAAAAATAGTTCTGCCTATGATTTTGTTTTGCCCAGTATCTACTTATTAATCTAAATACTTTACTATCCACGTGATGTGCCAAGGCTACATCAGGGGTGAGTAATTTGTGAACATATGAATATTTAAAATGGCAATGATACATGACAGAACAGATATGGAGAGAGGATGTAAACACTGTTCAGCAAATATAAGTCCTATCAAACAAGTTGCCAGAATGCCAGTGACATTCTGAAGCAAGTCAAGGAGTAATTTTACCATTACATATGATGGGCAAATAGTCAGGAAGCAGAAAAATGAATTATGGTAAGAATACTGTTAGAAGGAAAAATAGGTTCATTTTTTTCCATGTAGAAAATTGAGCAGAAAAAGTAATAAAGTGGATAATATGTTTCACTGCAGGCCTCATGGTATAGTAAATAACAGAATAGATCATCCTTTGACCAGCCAATCTAACCTGAGTGCATTTGTTTAGGTGATACAAAAATGGAAGTTCGAACCTGTGCTACTCTTACTGAAGTGAAAAGAGCAACACGTGTTCCACATCAAGCTTGCTCTAATAGAAAAGATCGACTGTCACGCCATGCTTCTTTCAGCGTTCCTCAGCCTTCTGAACTGGTCAAGAGAAAAGTTAGTTCTGAGCCAAGCAGTCCACACAAAGAAAGGCAAGGTAAATGTTGGGACAAGTATTCTACCAAAACCATAGCTCTTCTAATAGCTTTCAATTAATAGCTAGAAGTTTGTGTGTTTATTTTTGGGTAAGACAGCTTCTGTCTGTAAGGTAAAATTAGACTACTAATTAATAAAGAGAATATATGTAGCTCAGGGTTGAACTGTGGAGTTCTTGATGCTCTGAGCCTAGTGGTTTGCTTACAGATGTTTCATTACCCAACTAGGTAACATAATCAGCTGATGTTTCCTAGTTGGGCAATGAAACATCTGCAGGCACAAACAACCAAGCTCAAAGAGCACAAAAAACTCCACTACTGATTAATTTTAATTCTTTGTTAGAATTTTATTTATTTGTGCCTTTGAATCAGTGTTGACTCCTGGTGACTGTCTGGACAAGTCTGTGCAATTGTTGTTGTTATTTTCTTGGCAAGATTTTGGCAGTTTGGCAGTTTGGCATTGCCTTCTCCCCAGGGCTGAGAGAGAGTGATTGGCCCAAGGTCACCCAGCTGGTTTTGTACCTAAGGCAGGACTAGAACTTTGGATAATAATTGCAGGGTGCATACCTTACAGAGATCTTTGTATTTCACATGTCTTAGGGTGCAAAATATCCACTGAAGTGTAAGTTCCATTAGATACAGTGGGACTGAGCAATAGAATTGGAACATTTATTCTGAATGCTAGGGCAGTAGCTTCAGAAAGATCCACAAATTGATTTCCCATGCCTTTCATAGTGAGCATGACAGACATTAGCCACCTTTTCCTACCGCTGAGCTTGGAGGTAGGAAAAGGAGTAGTATATTGCTTCTGCAATTCTGGTGTACTTCTAAGCTACCTGAAGCATCATCAAAGCACAGTGCAACTTCAGGGGCAATACCATAAAATCCATAAAGGAACCTCATCAAAGACATGGTACATTACATAGCATTCTGTGAATTTTCAGGAGCATAACAACCATAGAGAGGTGGAACTTGTCACAGGTCTCAAGCTGAACAAAGTTATTGCAGCTCCCATTTCATACTGTAATTTGTAAAAGGAATGTAACACTGGCAGGTTTGGAAGGGAGAATAGTTTTGTGGTAGCATAGCTTGGATAACCTAGGAACCATGTGTGTTAGTTAACAAATAGAAATAAAATATATGAGCACTTTGCTCTATGTATTTAGTAAACCTAAAGTTAACATTTTAAATTGTCCTGACATGACTTTGAGTGAATGAGATTGTAAGAGAAGGACAAGGTAAGGTATAGTGTACCTACTTTGCAGAGTATAGCAGTAAAAAATTTAATCAATAAATAATAATCAGTGCTGATCTAGAAGTGGGGTGATTGTTGTAAAAAGGGGCAGAAAATACCTAGAGCTGAAATTACCCAAACTAATTTGAAACTACCCAAAAAGGATAGTGAGTGACAATAAGAATGACACAAAGGCTAGAATGATGGTCCCCAACTTTGGAGACCTAGTGGACAAATAGAAATTGGGGGGGCATTTTATGGGCAATTTCATAAAATAGTTGGTGAAAGTTTGGTCCATTCCAAAATGTCTGGCCTGAGTAACATAACCAGATGTATGTTACCTTATCAGATTGTAAATAATCTTGCTCTCTCCTTTTGCAATCCTACCTCCTATCTTTGTTTACCTTTGTCCTTTTTTCAGGTTACTGAACTTATTTCCAAATAAAGGATGGGGTGGTAACCTACTGTTTCTATTTTCTAAACATGTTTACATGACCTATTCAGGGTCCAGAGACATGAATGAAAGTAAAAAAGATGCGGGAAGCTGGAATTTCTTTAATTAAAAGGTTTTTTTCTAAATTATAAAAAGTCAGGTGGATCAAATGGGGAAGTGTTTGTGGGTATATTAGCATTCCTGAGTGCCACGTTATGGACACAAGTCTAGAAAATATATAAAAGGTTGTATTCCTGATCTTTTGTGGTAGAGGTCATCAGAGATTGTGGGATGTATTTTCTCTGACCTTTCTTTCCTCTTAGTCAATCCTAGATGCTCCCCATGTTTCTCTAAAAAAGGCATCACAAGGTGTGTGTGTGTGTATACACACACACACATATAACTCTGTATTACAGTCACACATTGGTGTATTGCAGTCACACATTGGTAACTGATTTGATTTTCTGATTTTCCTTAGACGATTACTGTTCCAAAATGATAAACCTAGCATCTGTTTGCTGCCAGAACTTGGAAGATAATAAAAGGTATACAGAAATTCAAAAGTGATGTCTTGCAAGAAATGATGCTCTGTTTTACACTTGATTATAATCTACCATGGAGGGAGGTCTGCAGTTTAGTGGCAGAGGGCAGACATCTGTGTTTCATGAAGAATTGAATGGGGTACAGTGGCCATTCTTGTTGGGCTGCTCTTAGGTATAGGCCGATTATGGCTTCACAGTGAAGATATACATATCACAATATAAAGTGACATTAGAATGAAATGAACTTATAGCATATTTGTTTCTACCTATCATATTTATGATGTTTATATGTAGAAACCTTGTCAATTACATAAAGATGTAATGCATAAATGAGATATTTTTAATTGGAGTGATTAACTATTGTGTGAAGGAACTGATTTGTTCTAGTAGTAGGCATATTAATTCACATTGTGTCTGCAACTTACCACAGGCCTTTTTTAGACCTAATTCTATTGCCTAGATGCTGCTTATCTGAATCTCTTTCAGTTCCCCATATCTTCTTCCCATCATAATCTAAACTAAATAGTCTAATTTATCTAAGCCTCTAGATATTTGGGTTATATCCAAAGCTGTTTGAAAAAGATTATATTAGAATGGGAATAGTTTAATGTACCATGACTCTGGTCCAATCATTTTCCTTAATCTTTCTAGTAGAAGTATTGAAGCAGCAAGAAATATGAGCATCATTCCTTCCTTCTCAGTTCTTCCTGTTCCAGAAGATTCAGACTATTGTGCTAATGCCTTCCCTCGCTTTCCTGAAAAGACCAACTCAAACACACCACATTGGTCTTTAGCAAATGGAAGAAACAATCAAAATTTACCATCATCTGTTGTACCAGCTTCCAAAACTGAGACTGGAAAAACCAATGTGCTCCCCAGCCAACCTTTCGTTTACCTGCCATCTCCATCTCTTTATATGTTGTGTGGCAAACTTCATGAAAGCCAGCCAAGGGAAAGCTTTCCAGAAAAGAGAAGTGAAGACCTGGAGGGCCACATTTCACCCTGCTCAACAGAAACTGCCAAATCTCCAGCTAACTATCGCAAGCGGAGTTCTCAAAAATGTGTACCTACCACTGCAGCGCCAGCTGAAGAGGAACCTATAGCCAAAAGACAAAGCCTGGAGCAGAGCGATGGCCCTATTTCATTAGTAGTATCTAAGGTAAGAGGAATTCAGAACACATACAAAACTATTTCATGGAGTCATCCCAAAGAATAGCTCTTGTGTTTATGAAATAATAGATTCCATCTCCCTTATATATCACATGGTCATCTTTTATGGGGACTATCTTTGCTGGTTTTTTATTTAGAAAAGGAATATTGGCTCTTACTCCTTTCTGCATGTTCCATGAATAAACTCCTGTTGCCCAGCACCTCTGTGAAAGTTTCCTCAAAGTTGGGAAGGAAGACTCCAATAGGAGCTATGTTTAACCTTTCAAGGCTAGATACAGAATATTTGTGGCAGAGTCTCACACAATAATGAATATCCCAAGGTGAGGTTATTTGTGTATATTTTTTTTAGAAGACCATTCAGCCAGTAGATGCAAAGTCTTCTCCAGACAACATCTGCAGCTCCCTTGACCAACAAAGAGGCTTTCAACTTGAATCAGGGACTTCTGACATTCTGGAAACTGCCATAACAGAAACCCAGGACCAAGAAGAACCATATAGGAGTAAAGACTTAAAGGAAAACTTGAAAGAAAAGGAACAGGCTTCTCAGGAAAATGGCAAACCATCTTTTCTACCACAGTATCTCTACGTACAGCCTACAGCTGGTAAGGACTAAACTGAAAACATGCATGTTAACTTGGCATTCAGCCAAAATATATTTTCAGACCAGCCATAAATTCCTAGAGAGATCTTTCAATAAAATGCCATCAACACTTTAAAAATTGAGGAAAAATGTCCAGGTAGATTCGTAATATGGCAGATATATAACTGAATTTCTTAATACATTTCAGTTTAACTCTTCCAGAAGTGTTCTAATTCTGATACAACCATGCCTGAAGCTGTGTTTTATTTCTCAGAAGGTTGGAACACATCCAGTGATATTCAGTGAGGTTCAGATGGTATTTTGAGCTCAAAGTTTTGAATGTGAAAGTTTACACACCATTGTTATTTTGTCTTTATCCTTGAGAAGACAGGGTCTTACTGTACTTGATACCTTTTCTTTCTTTCTTTTGTTTTAGGATTAAATGGTTTTAATTTCCTGTTTCCTACCAACCAAGCTCCTGCTCCTGTCAGCCTACCTTCAAGCCGCATGCCTTCACTTAATGTTCCCTGTATGATGGTTCCATCTACTGCATTGGCACCATTCCCTCTTATCTATTCCTCAGCAGTAACAAGCCAACTTCATTCTTCATCTTCTGGCTCTTTCCCAAATGTCACTTGTGTGAATTTTAGTATGCCTGGCTTGACTTCTACACCTCCTGTTTTCATTGGAACCCCTGCTGTAGTAACTCCAAATTCATCACAATTACCTACACTGGAACCACACCAGCAGTTTCATTCAGCTGTACATCTGAATACTCTCCTTGGATCTGCTTGCAACTCCGTTAAAACAGACCCATCAATTTGCATGGGACATCCAGTCACCCTTCTGAAATTACCACAGGTGAGAAGGGAAAGCTTATTATAAAGCAAGGAGGTAACATTCAAAAACATTCAACATACATAAAAAATATCTACTTAAGCCAGATGCTCTATTATTTCCAAAATTGTGATACATATCTGCCAACTAAAGTTCATAGGGTTATTGCTAAATATTTTATTTTGTTATGTTGTAAACAGGAGTTTCTGATTATAAGTCCTCCACTCAGGTGCTTACTCATATATGAAGATAGAAACTCGAATTTAGTTGTGCATATTTGAAATACCTCATTCTTAGGACCCATGCATTCTGCAGTGCATATATATCCACACTGCTGGGGACGGTGTTGTTGGCCACCCAGTCAGCCAGATGTTTAGACTGGATTTGGCGTTTTTATCCACCTATTGACTCCTCCTCCTCCTCCTCCTCCTCCTCCTCCTTCTTCTTATTATTCAGCTTAAGAATCCTTGGTCAGAGGACAAATTCTTCTGCTCATAATTTTTGACCAAAATAATTCTGTTTTCATTATAAGACTCAAGCACTATGGTCAACTATCAACATTTATTTATTTATTTATTTATTTATTTATTTATTTATTTATTTATTTAATGCTGCTTCAATTATTTTGATTATAAGTGGTTAATAAGCGGCAAAATACAAATAATATAATACAATAACCATAACACAAATCATAAAAAAGCATAACAAAAGTAATTGTATTATAACAATCACAGCTCTAATAGAACAGACATTACATCATTAGAATCTCATTTCACACCCAGGTACCTCTGACTACTCATGTCTCAATTCCTGAATGTTGGTTCAGATGTTTTCTGAATATTAAAAGCAGGAGTGCAGATCTGATTTGACAAGTGGGGAATTTTGCAGAAAAAGCTTACTCCCAAGTCCCTTCCTGCAAAACTTTGTGGGAGGTGAAAACCCTGCAGGCATGATTTGGACATCTAATAGATAAGCAGGCCCTAAACCTCATGGGACTTTAATGGTTATAACCGACACTTTGAATTGTACCCATAAGCCAATTTGAAATTAGTGCAACTCCCACACTATTGGTGTTACATGACAATGCCAAGTTGTCGCAGCCCAATATACAGGCTGCTGAATTTTCACTAACAGCAGTTTCAAGATGAGCAGTCCCAGGAAGAGAATGTCACAGTAGTTGAAACATGAAATGACAAGGGGATGAATGAGTGTTGTCAGTGCCTTCTGCTCCAAGAACAGTTATAATTCATACACCAGCTGAAGGTAGGCAAAAGCCCTCCTGTATATTCAATCATTGTCTGTTCCATTGTATATTCAACCATAAGGTATTCCTTCTTCTAGCTTGCCTACCAAAGTGAAATAAAGATGGCATACAGAATCAGGTCACTGATTACCGTATTTTTCCGACTATAAGACGATACTTTTTTCTAAAATCCTTACGCTAAAAAT